TGTGGGTTAAATGTGTTTGTGTGTCAACCAGTCATAGTTCTTCGTAAAAATCTTGTTTAGTCCTAATGCAAATCTTTAATATCCCATGGTGAGGATGAGACCAGTGTGAAGAACCACTAGTGATGTCATGTCCGGTTTTGACACCCAAATGTGAATGATTTTTGCTTTTCCAATAATGATTGAAATAACCTGATTCGTCTTTGGTGATATGATAATTGTTAATTACATGGAGTAGTGTACCAGAACGCCTCCTTGTTTACAAGGCTTGTGATCTTGATCTGTCTTCCTGGTTCTGCTGTATGCTTCTCTCAAGAACTCTCTTCGCGGTTGAGACCTTACTTTGTCTCCTGCTTTTTATCAGCAGTTTAATGCTGTCGTTCTTGACTCTTGTCTGCTGCTCTGTTGCTTTCTGAGCTTCAAGTTGTTCCCAAAAATTTTGCCATTTCATTTCCTTATTCCCAATATGAATATTTGCCGGTTATTCCTATGATTCTTTATCCAATTCTTTGAAGATAACTTGAACAAGGTAGCTTCATACAAAACATTCAAGTCATTATTGCAAAATATTAATTTCATACTTCAATACTGGAAGTTCTAGTTCTTTCACAAACACTGAGTGATCTTATCCATACATCCAAATCTATTGCTAATATATATCTGTAGACAATTTAGATGTATAGCCGAAGACATGGCATGTCATAAATACATTTTCTTTTTGAGAAACCTGTAGTCACTACCAATGGCTGCAAATGCCATGATGTTTTAATGCAGGCACCGTGGAACAAAAGTGGTAATTAAAATCTTGGACCACAAGTTAAAGAGCAATTGCGTGAAGTCACAAAAGTACATGTATATTGCATCGTGTCTGTTCTTCTTTCCAATATAAAATCTTAGCCTGTTAGTTGTATCTATACTATGTCCCAACTGAGGAAAAACTGAAATAACTTTATAGGAATGTGGAATAAGGATGAGACTTTTACAGGTTCTTAGTTGCCCTATGCCGCTTTAGGATCTCAAGTCTAGGATGTCTCAACCCTTGGGAACCCTGGTTCTCCCTATGAACCCAATGGCATACCAAAGCTAACAGCAATGACGTTCTATGATGTCATAGTTTACATAAGTACATGTGGTCGAGAGCCCAAACTGATAATTCTTCTTTTAAAAAGCTAATAGAGCGAGATCTTCTGATAATGATAGCCTTTATGAAGACTAACTGACTCCAGGAGCTATTGTTCTGCTTATCAGGAAGAACAAGACTATTTTAAGAGTGAAACAACAGAGCTGAAATATCGGCCATGTCTCAATGAATATCATTATAAGACGTCATTAGTGTTGTAGATACATTTTTAAAATTCAAATGCGGCTGCTTCCACTTCCGGTCCATTCTCAGTTGGGACACTGTACAGCATTACCTGTTGATCGTTACAAAGTCATCAGGAATCCTTATTTTGTCAATTGATTTCAAAAACACTGTGGCAGGACATAGAAATTAAGGGCAGTGCATGTTTAGCAGGTCATGATAATGTTTCGTTTCATGAAATATTGAAACCTAATTGTATTTTTGATGTTGTATTACTTAATGCAGTACATTCATTACAGGAGAGCCTTGTACAGACCTAGTTGGTATTGCACATGAATACCAACAGGAGGAACTGAATAAGCCACTCACTCTAGCAAACACAATTGTTGTCCTTGAAGAATTTCCATTTTAATTGAATTTTAAGACAACAGAAGAATTAGTGAACAAATTGCAAATCTCATTGACTTACTAAGAAAGCACACAGATACTGTTTAATTACACCTTGTTCATAAGAATTATAATGAATTTTAGAAACATTCACATCTTGGCCTTCGAAAATTTTATGGCAAAACAGCAGGCATGAAAACTATAACCATGTGGGTTTAAATGAGCGTGAGTCAAGCAAGCTTTAATTTGTATGATTTATGATTCTTTGTATAATTCTTGATTTGTCCTAATGCAAATTCTTAATACCCCATGATCAGTGTGAACTACGACAGATGATGCCACGTCCGGTTACGACAGCATAAATGCTATTAATTTTTGCTTTTTCCTATAAAGATCGAAATCATCTTACAGTGTTTTGAGGAAATAAATTTTTGCAATGAAATTTTAGACATCAAAAGTAAAAATTTTTGCTAGGACAATTATTTTTGACAAAATTACAGTATCTCCTGGCAGGTATGTGTTTTTAGCATAATGAGAGGTTACCATGTTTATAAGTGTGTATGGCAGCCTAGCATTAGTGTTGAATTATAAACCACTGTAGAAAAAGGAAACTGTCCTGACAGATACACCACAGCAGTCATTGTGAGTGGTATGGTCATTGCCATGTCTCGCATGAAATGTCAAAAAAATGTTTTTTACTTCATCAAGCACCATAGCAGCACTGTTACAGGAAGGAGCAACTTAGTGCGGTATGGATAAAAGGAATGGAAATTCCTTGTATCTATGACTGACTGTGGCTCAAAGAAACTTAAGACCCTACAAAAGCTTTTCAAGGATGATTTGAATTAATATCTTAGTAAGTTAATTCTTGTCAAAAATTTTAATACCTAGATCACTGTATTAATAACAATTATTATAATATTAATTATTATTTAATATATTACTGTATAATCATTTAATCAATCACTTTCATCACTGTCTTCACTGCCGCTGGAATCTTCATCTTTGTCACAAAATGGGTTGTCCTCATTGTCATTTATATTAGGCAACTGCAGATTTGGTAATTCATTAGAGCAACAAATAATATGGTTCTCTGAACCATCAAGAGCGTTTTAAAGGCCTCATACCAAGAAAGATTACTTCACCATTGTCTGGTTCTGGTTTAAGTAGTCATACCCTGACGTGACCCATTTACATAGTTTATCTTTTGATACAGTTACAACTTTATCAGGATCTAGAGAAGCATCTACTTTGGAATCAATGTATTCCAACCAAATTTTCTTCAATATGCTCTTGAATGGTTTATTGAGACACACATCTAGTGGTTGTACTTTGCTTGTTTACCCACCGGGTGTAATCACTATGTTGACATTCTTTTCCTTTGCCTCAATTAAATCTGCCTGTTGATGTGCAGAAAATGAATCTATGATTATAAGTATCATTTTTTCCTTGTGTATGGTAATATTATACCTCTGAACTATCGTAGCATGGGTTCTCCATCTATCCATCCTTTTGGTTGCACAGTGACTTAAACATCTTGTGGAGGTTTGAATTTAAGCTTTCTTTTCCCTTTAAAAATAACTAAAGCAGGTAGCATTTCTCAATTAGCAGTGTATCTGAGAACCACAGTAAGCTTCTTTTTCTGCACCAGAAGAGCAAACACACTTTTTAAAAATACTATGTTCAGGTACCATATCAAAGAACATTGATGTCTCATCTATATTAATAATAAGAACGAATGGATAGGGTGCCAATCCGTACTTCATTCAAAAAGCATTCCAACTGCCTTTCCACTTGTGCTGGAAGCTTTTGACTGATCAATGTTTTAGCATGCAGAGATAAGTCATGATGAGACATAAATTTCTGAAGCCATACTGTTGAGGCTGAAAAATTTTGGAGATATTTTTTCACAAACTGAGAAGCTTTCACTTTAATTAGGTCTCTTGACACAGGAAGGTGACTGTCTCGTCTGGTAAGAACCCATTCATATGTTCCTTCATCCACTACTTTGGGATATGTGTGATCCCTTCCACTGCCAAACCAAAGATGAACACCTGTTACAATACTACTTGTAGCCTTCTTCATCCTTCGTAGTTGTAGCTCCCATGATGATATTGTCAACGCTGATCTGTGAGCTTGAGGTTTGCTCCTCTACTTATTCCACAGTGGACTCGTCTAAATCATAGCTGTGTTGATCTTCTTGAGGACAACTATTGGAGCAGCTAGCGGCTGCTTGGGTCAAGGCAGGCAAGGGTATCTGTACTTCTGGTTGTCTAAGCATTTTCAACAGGTCTTTTTTCTTGTTCCACAGGCTTGTGACTTCTCAAGAGCTTTCTTGGTCGGCCAACAGGTCATTTTCTTGTTTCACAGGCTTGTAACTTCTCAAAAAGGCTGCAAAATGGAAACAACATCAAAATGTAGGACAAAAAACGTTACTTGGCCATTCAGTTGCCATTATAGTTGCACGAAATTAGAAAATCCTGATGAAATTAAAACACATTGTAAGGATAATTTTTGTGATGAATTATTAGAATACTTTCGGCACTTTTTTCCACAATTAACATTTATTTTTGAAATTAGAGACAATAACTTCGGTAATAGGAGTTGTTCACTGAACTCCAAGAGTCATTGTTAACAAGGGTTATGATCTAGATCTCCTGTTGTCTGCCTTGAAAGTTCTCTTCAAGAATTCTGTTCTCGGTTGAGACCTTACTCAAAGTTTATGAGGAATTCCTTCATGCTATTGTTCTTGACTCCTGTCTGCTGCTCCGTTGCTTTTTGAGCAGGATGTTATTTTCAAAAATTTTTCCATTCTATTCCTTTAGTTTCAATATAAATATTTGTCTTGTAATCCTATTATTATCGAACTATTATTATCATATCTGGAACATTTTTTGCAACAGACTTCGATACTGAGGTGGCTCTCAGGAAGTGGTTTGTGTTAATGGTTGCAATTCAACAACTTTGACACATTTGATATCAATGGCTGCGGTATAAAGGGTACATTTGCAAACCACGGTTTGTTAAAATTGCAAAGGTACTTTTCTATAGTTACAGTGGAAAAATTGAGTCAAAGCACTTCTCAGATTTAGCAAATTAAAATTAGGTTTTTTAAACTATGCTAAATACCTTGGCGGAACTCTGTATGTGTGTGTTAGTTTTAAGTTAGGATTTCCAGTGGACACTGCTTTCTTGTAAAGTCCTGAGGAATCTCATAATCAACACTGCATCGTAAAAAGTTGCTATTAGTAACGCAGTAGCGTTACTACTAGTAGGATTCACCCCAAAACAAAATGGCTGCCACAACTTTTGTCAAAGCGTCTAGAGACAGGAATGGATCCAATTAGTTATGTGGGTGGTTTTATATCTGTAATACGCATGCGCATTACTCCCTCATGGACAAAAATCACAAAATGGCTGCCACCAACTGAGTGTTTTTCATATTTCTAGTGCTGTCTTTGTGGTTCCAGGCCTTTTTGCTAGTTGTTTGCATGAGTTGGATCACTGATTAGACTAATAGAACCTTGCATTAGGTAATTTATTCTCAGACTGCTATAATGCCTTTTTATAATTATATACTGTGACTATCATTGTAATCACCTATATATAGAATGTATCTTCTAATTATTCTTGTGTGAGGAAATGGGCTTTTTAGTCTTTCCTGGGTTATCATTTGTTCCTTCCACCACAATTACTCATTTCAGAACTGTAAGTAATATGTCTGTCAATTTAAGCCTCATTATGGGGAATATGAGGGATTTAATAGGAGGTTCATCACTCTGAGAATGCCCCAGGGTAGGGATTTTTCTCCAACAAGCCTATAGGAAGACTTCGCTAGTTTGACCAAGTTACGTTTTAAAAATGCTAAGTTTACCCAGCAGAGCTGAGTTCAGTAGCAGTTGAGTGGTTGTTTAACGTTCCTTAAATTTAGTAGGGGATTTGACTGAAGGGAACGGCCCCAGAGGTAGTGATTTAATTAATAAATTAATTTGAAACCCCAACTATGCCCCATTATAACCTGTACTGGGATAGTGGAGCTTGATATTGATAAGTACACGATAAATTTATTGTAAATGTCTGCTATTTCATATATTTATTTTTTATAGGCATTTTATACCTTGCCAGCGAATTGGATCACCAGAGGTTGCTCATGAGTTTTTGCTTACATGTGTAGTAGGAGACTAGGAGCTCAAGTAGGTGCAAGGTTGAGCTGTAAGCTGTGTATAATTATAGACCACTAGCAGTAAAAATTGATTACATAGGAAGATTATTAGAAATTTTTACGGTTGTAAGGTGTGGTTTAGGATGAAATAAATTCAGCTGCCATTTTGGTTGACAACTTTTAATGGAGAACAAACGGGCTGTCATGAAAACAAATCTGTATTGAGAATTCTGGGGCAAATTGGACCACATCTTTTGTAAAAGAAGCTTAAAGGCAGATCTTTTTTCTTATAACAAGCACATTTTAGCTTTTAAAAGAGCTACAGCAGGTAAGTGAGGCATTTTCTTGCATTCATTGCCGACTTCCTTAACAAACTTGCCAACGAAAATGGCAGCCAATTATGACGTGGGCAGATACCGTATATAAAATTAATGAAATTCATTTCCAATTCTCACTTCCAGTGGTCTATAATTAGTTTTTAAGTCAGTATAGTTATTAAATTCGTAAATTTTTTATTCATGCATTAAATAATGCAAGCAATGACATATTCCACTTTTACAGTACTTCTGACTATTAAAGCTGTTAGTTTTGTAGTTTTGAATTTACATGTATGCTATTTTTATGATAATTAGAATGTCACGAAAAGCTATCAGTATTGTTCATGGTGGTGGACGAAACTCTGGATACTATATTTGGAGATGTTGGTACTTAATAGAATAATTATTCATGAAATGATTAATTTTATTATGCTACTAATGTTTAGAATTGTACCTAGAAATTTCTTTAATTGTAGCTAGAAATTACTGTCGCCCAAAATTTCTGTGAATTTTGCAGATTTTATTTTAGCAAAATCACCATGCCTTTCAATGTGTACTGATTTTAAAGGATTAAATTTTCACAGTTTTTGAAATCTGCATAATTAGCAGAAATTTTGGGCCACAGATATATCTAGCTCCATGTGTATGGCATTTGCAATGAAAGGTTTATTATTAACTTCTTATCTCTGTTAAACAGATAACATTTCCCCAAGACTAGATATATTATCAACTCTTTATTTCCCTTGGCACTACTTAATGTGACACCAGTATATTTCTAGGTCAGTAAAAACTATTATTGCTGTATAAAATTTGTTTTCGTTATCTGTAGAATGACATTCCTGTCAAATTATTTTTAGAGATGAAAATAGGCTACAAAGTTCTTTGTAAACATTAATGCAAAGTACATGTACTTTTTACATTTATTATTAATATTGCTTATTCCTTGTAGACTCAACAGAATAACCTGAAATCAAATGTGTGGCTAAACAAGCATTTATTCATGTTTGAACTGTTTTTTTACATTTTTGTTTGAGTTATGAACATTATAAATTGAAGTACAATTTAGTCAGTACTGCGCATGCGCAGATTGCACCCACGCAAATAATTGGATCCATTCCTGTCTTTAACGGCATGTACTTTTGTAGCCTTGCTCTGCTGGGAGAACAAGCTCGAATGCTTATCAGACTTTTTAGAGCACCTTATCTTGACCAGAGGACTCCATTGGTACCACTAGCGTCGCTCTACCTTGTCTAAAAAAAATCCAAAAATCGGCAAACCAGCCGTTTTGTTCAGCCACCTTTTTTCATCTGCATCATCATTATCAAGTCAGAAGTCCAGTCAATCCAGTTGTCGGTGTGTATCTCAGTATTGGTTGGTGCTACAAGGATAATTCTTACACCAATCTACTCCAACAGCAGGTCCATGTCCATCAGATTGTTCTTCAAGTAAGGAAAAAGTGATACCGTGACTGCTGGATCGAGCTGAATGCCACCGTTTTGTTAATTAAAGATGCTTGCCATGTGCTCAAAATTTGGGTGTGGTTGTGCATGCTCAGATATCTGCAGCTCTGGAAGAAAAAAGTCATTTTTTACCAAGATAAACTTGGAATACTTTAGTGGAGGTTTCCAGCTAAAAGAAGGTATTAATTTTACATGTTACTGTTTTATCAAGTGTGAAATATTATTATAATTTAAAAAACAAAGAAGTAATTAATCTTATGAATTATGATATGCAATGATAATTATGAATTTGACAACAGCCTGGAAGAACTGGAATAGAAGGGAAGATGGACACACTTAGCTCACAGATTCTTGAACAAGGACTTGTGTCAAGGCTAGTATTAGTTTCACTTGTCATCAGTATAGTTGATATTCCTTCAGCATGTCTATTTTATGCTATTTCTCATAAATGTTATAACAATGATGATAATAATGAAGAAAATTATTGTTTGTGTAAAATCAGCAAGTATCACAATTACAACTAAAGAAATACTGTAAATATTATTTTAAAAAATCAACACAAACAAGAACATAAATTAAAAAAAAGATGAAGTAGGATTCCAAACAATCAACGAAAATATAAAATATTTTTTAAAAATCAACACAAACAAGAACATAAAAAATTTAAAAGAAAGGTTAAGTTAGATTCCGAACAACAAACAAAAATACGAAATGAAAATTCTACTCGTGACGCAAATTCTACTCTACATTGAAAGGTGATCTGTAATTCTAACATAATAATATTAAAAGTACAATATGGAGTAGAATTTGTGTCACGAGTAGGATTTTCATTTTGTATTTTCGTTTGTCGTTTGGAATCCTACTTAACCTTGTTTTTTTTCAATTTGTAATGTCCTTTTTATTTTGGGAATGATTGATTTGTCTTTTTTGTAGAAAAAGAAGTTGGTAGAGATTCAAAATGTTATCAGTTCCTCTGCAAATATGTTGTATTTCCAGTCAAAGAGCAACAGGACACATAAAACAATGCAGCAAAACCTTGTCTTTCATTGATATGAAAGGAATTCCTTTTCGTTTTTAATGTATGATAGCCCAAATATTCATACTTCATGAGTTTACATGAGGCTCTTGTCTCCAAAAATTATGGCCAGTCTTTGAACATTGTCCTGATAAAAGTTTGTGTTCAACAAATAGAAATCTTTTTTCACTTAGCCCATGTGCCACCATTACTGTGTGTGATTAAGAAGCAAGTGTGATTGAGCCACACTTTAAATTGCTGAAGCAAGAGTGAGGTTTCTTTTCTGTCTCAAAACTTTCACTTAACTTAATTAGTTAAAACTGTTGTACACTAGTTGTGGTGAGGGTATGCACTTTAGTAGTCTTGTTCTTGTATAGAAACATAGAAATTGTCATTGTGGTAGACACTTCTATTGCATCCAAGTCAAATCACGTTCTTTATCACATCTGAGGAAGTAGTAATAACTTGTATAGAAAAGTACCAATTCTTTAAGATTAGCGTAGGACATGACTTTATATTGCAATTTGAACAAAATAATTCCATAAAAAAATAAAGACTCTTAATACTGCAACTTTGGCTTTAATATTGTCTTGTATGCACACTCCAGTGTGTCTTCGAAGTTTTTTTAGTTAAGAGCAAAGTTATTAAAAAGCTCTTCAGTTGCATAGAGCCAGACTATAAGTCACATTCTCATTATGATTTTACCTGATACAATTACAATTTTGATTATTGTAATTTTTATAATTATGATAACGAAAATTTTAAAACATGTAGATGTTACAATTGTAATCAGCCCTAACCTGTAACTTAATTACAGAATTCCATTAAAATTACTAGATTATGTTATGCAAATTTAATTATCTCATATTTTGTAATAGGTTCTTTTGTCTGGTAGATTTATTTAGTCCAACAATTTTGGAAGTTGCCGTTACAAGTTTTTCACCTTCGATTTGTGATTTTGTCCCCGCAAATGTAGTACATCCTTATCTTTTACCCGACTCACTGGAAGGAAAACAAGATACCTCTGGAGTATTCAAACGTATGGGGACAGGGACAGCCGATAATAATTATATGTATGTCTTTCACAAACCTGTACCCACATCAGGTGCCAAAAAGTCATGGTTTGGGAAAACTCAGTGACTGAGCAACTACCAATGGTTGTTAAGACATTTGAAAAATTTAAAGTACCACAAAAATTCTTTTCTGACACTGTGGGACAAGCTTTATTCCAAAGTTCCTTCCATTTTGCTTCACTTCTAAGGTTTACTGAAGTGGATTTGGTAGCTGTGATGCAGTTTGCAGCTGCTGAATAATTTATCTGCCCTGCTTGTAAAAGGTGGGACAAATTTCCAGTGATAGAGAAGATTTTATCAAAGATAATGAGAGAAAGAAGAAATGAAAAATTCTGAAATTGATGTAACAGGCCCCAAGCTTCAATTGCAAGAGTTCCAGTAGTATCAGATATCTCATCTAGTGTAGCAGTAAAAATGGCTTTTACTGCCTTTATTGAAGAGTGGCAACATGACCATCTGGTGTCGCTTAGCTTGACTAATCTTAACTCCTTTATCTTCATCTCCTTCTGTTTGTTTAAAAGTAAAGAGTGTGGTACTGAAGAAGACATAAAAACATACAATGACTCCAAAAGAGCAAAGAAATTTGAAGCATGAGGAAGAGAACGGCAGGAATTGACTAATGCCAGATTCAATTGATGTGAATGGCAGTGTATCTATAGATACTGCGCTTTTCACTCCACTTGGATCACCTTTGCGTGTTGTGTCTGTAAACCACTCCTTCAGGAGTGGTCTGCATAAACATCGCCTACTCCACGATTGCTGACTCAACAGTCTGACTTAACTTTGGACTCTCAATCTATAGATTTGTTAGTGCTTATTGGTCCCTTATGTTTATTTCTCATTTCTTTCTTTATATAGGCAATTCTTAATTCTTGTCACTAAGACTCTCAATTATGAACGCACGAGGACCAGAATCTCAGCCTCAATTGCGTACCGCTATCTTAATCAACAGTAATTTTGGTCAGACACCTGTCGTGCAGGTTAGTAGTAAACTATCAAGTTATCTTGAAAGGTTGACTACATTATTTACATTATAGTATAATGCTGGAACTATCAGTGGACTGCAAACACGGCCTGCAGTCTCACAGGTCCTTTACCAACCCCACGTACTTATTCTGTAACGGTGGTGAACCCTAAGAAAAGAAGTGATTTTGCTGTCAGCAAATTATCTTACGAGGGCTTCTTTAAAGATATAAGGCACCTAAAGGAAGTTCCGTTAGCTACTTTTCCTGATGATTTCAATGTAGATGGACAGATTGGGTACATTCAATCTAGTCATGGTGCCAAAGGACGTCAACTGTGGCTAACGTCAAATGCTGATGTACAACAGATGTATGCCCAGTGTGATGTAAAGAAAGAAATTCTACTATGGTTTCTTAAGAGTGAGATTAAAATTGACAAAAGTGGGTTTGAGCCTAAATCAAAGCGTCCTTGTCCTGATACATCTGGTGCTTCTAAAGCTGATAGTTTTTCCCACATGCTGAGAGAGGTTGACAAGAGTGTGACAACTGTAACAGAGAAGCATTCCAAGAAGTACACTGTTGAGCAAATCAGGGCATGGGCTCATATGTTACAAATGGGAAAACATGAATCATATGACGAGCCACCAAATAAGCCTTTTTTTTAGAGCAAGGAAGGCAAAAACACCAACCAGATGATTACATCAAGCAAATTGAGCTACGATCAGAATGCATGAACCAGCTTCAGAAATGGCGAGAGTTATTGGATAAAGATATTATTAGCAAAGAACAATTATGGAGAGTTACAAGGGAAGATATTAAAGGATATTAAATAATTATAAAATTATGAATGCATTTTAAGTGTGTATTCTTAACGTTTTGTTGTCATACTATTCATTACCATAACCAAAATGATTAATCCATTGCTGACACATTCTGCTTGTTATACTTTCACTTGCAGATTCTATTATAGGTACTGGATCATTAGTTACTTGCATCACATCTTTATGTAGCCTAAGGTATTGCTTAATACAGCTGAATGCCTCTTCAATTTGGTTCAAGTCTGGGCTATAGGGAGGAAGGAATTGAACCACTATGCCCATATCTTGTAGCAGTGTCGTTATTGGTTGACAGTGATGAACAGATAAATTGTCCATTACTACTAATGAGTTGGAATTTGCTCCATCAAACTGCTGTAAGTTTCGAATTAACTCAGCTCGAATACAGTTATAAAAAACAATTTGATCTATCTTTTTATCAGTGAGATAATAAGCAACAACACCAGAAGCAGAAATAGCTACAATAGCATTAATGCGTTTTCGTCGAGACATAAACGTATGTTTAACTGCTCTTTCCCCCTCATTGCATATCCATACTTTCTCAAATAGTTCCTTCTGTCACTCCCAGTTTCATCAACCCAGACAAAAACATTATGACTATAGAGGAACATATTAGCCATAAAATTTGCTCTTAAAGTTAATGACCTTTGTAATGCAACTCTTTGAACTGCCTTTCTTGTTAATCCATATCTTCTCAACAAACGACAAATAGTTGGCACAGAAACTGTGGTGTTGCTCACTTCAATTTGTTTTCATATTTCATAGAGATGTGTTGTTGGAGATCGTAATATCAAACGTATTATGATGAAATATTCGTGACATTCATCTAAGATACGTAAGTGACTTCTGCTGCTGTTTGATGCTCGTACTCTCTTACTTACGTCCCCTGTTGTCTTCAAAGTTAACCACAGCCTTCTGGCACTTCCATATCCAATAAATAGCTGTTTGGATATTTTTCTAAATGATAGCTCTTTCACAATTTTAAGCCATACCACTCTCCATCCAATATCTTCTGAGTACTTCCTTGAACATGATGGCTAACAAGAAGTTATTTTTAAATAATTCCGCGGGACCACTGACATCGTGAGTCATCATACGTGGGCGTGCGCGCGTTAGGGGAGGCACCTATACGGAAAAGGGAACACACAATGATCCAAGTGGCATGAAAAGCACAGTAGATTGTGGGTTGTCTTCTAGAATTCTGCTACGGACACCAGTAAATGGGCCGCTCATTACTGAGGCCCCATTGTAGCACTGACTGACACAGTTACTAATACTAAGGTTGATGGTTTAAAGTGCTTGGTAAGTATAAGTGGTCAGGGCAGCAGCATTGAGCTCTTCACAGTGAGTATATCATATGAAATGCTCAGGTACAACTCCTTTCAAAACATATCTCAGGATTAGTGTAAGCTGTTCTTTTTTACTTATATCCTTAGTTTCGTCAACTATGAGTGTAAAATATTTAGCAGCTCTGAGGTCTTCTTTGATGTAATTAAGAACACCCTCAGCTAGTATGGAGAGAATATTATTCTGGTAGTGATTACCAAGAAGAGATGCATTACGTGGACCAGAGGTGAGACATTTCTTGAGTAGCTCTATATGACCTGACTGTAGATTGATTAAACTCAAAAAGTTACCAAGATTGATATCCGTGTCTTCTGTATCTACTTCACGATGGCCTCGCAAAGCGACTCCTTGTTGAGCGCAGTAATGGAGAGTTTCAATCAGAATCATTACATACTGCCTATTCTCTTCAACTTCTTTGCGTCTCCCAGTTACAAGTTGAGTAATCTTTCTATGCAAGTACAGCCTTCTTGTGTTTGACGGAACTATCATGTTTAGTCAAAATACCACTCTTTCCCTTCCCATGTTTCCAATCTGAAAATCCAGTCAAAGAGAAACATTTGTCAGGATTAACAGAAATGAACCTACATTGAAAACAATAGACACAGTCCTTGCTAACAGACCATGGAAACACATGATACAAAGCGACTTGAAAGGATTGTGTGATGGCAGCAAAAGTTGTCGAAGGAAAATATATATCTTCTGGCTGGACTGGTTTCTCAAACTTCTCTTTAGCAATGTCAGATGGTAAGCTGGAAGAAGTTAAAGAACAGCATAATGCCATAGAAACAGACTGTGAGGAGGAAGTAGAAAGTGAAGAGTACTGTTAGGTGTGACAGTTAAAGCAAATCCACCATTGTCATTATGTGTGCATGTGTTGTGAGTGTGACTTTGTGACTACTATCAGACTCAGTGTCACTAGAAGAATGACAAGGAAGATCATAATCATTAGTCTCTAACTCCGTGGAATCAACTGACACTAGATCTGGCTCATCAATAGAAATTTTAGGTAGTAAATTTAGTGTGCAACTGCCGTTAACACAACTGATGATTTATGACATGCAGAACTTGCTTCTATATAGCTCTATACATTGTTAGCTATTAAACTTACTTTTTTCAATAAGGTCATCATCATTGGTATTTCTTTTTTTTGGTTTAGGAGGCAAGAGAGACGCTTGACGCTTGGTTGTGGCTGTTCTAGTCGGCTCTCTTTCTAAGCTTGTTTCTTGACTTGTCAAAAAGGAAAGCTACAACTATTTGCAAGACATTGTGTACAGACATGCTCTGTATTACCACAAATACAATTTACTTCTGTTTATTTACATTTTTAACCAAACTTACAAAATACTTTCCTGCATTTTGACTGAAAGGTAACATGTACTGTAATACTTAGCATTGTTACAGGTACTTCAAGTGTCCATTTGTCCCATTCAAAAATTAACTCATCAAGTATGCTTGTACTGTTCTTATAATAGCAACTACACTTTGGGCTATTTCATTGCATGAAACATCTGACCATGGAATGATTTAACAATTTTTAAGTGCAACCATGAAGGATTTAAGGCATCAGGAGAAATGCAACTAGAATCATAGGGTTTTACTTTAGCAAAGTGAAAGTTAGTGTAATTATAATAGAATTTAATTTATATTAGATTTTACCATTCAAATGTTGTGAATATGATGGCGTATTCATGTACAAAACAATGCTGCGCCATTGTCTAAACCTACATGTATAATAAAAGCTTATTTGACAAGCTGATAAGGTTTTGTTTGTCATTTCCTCTTTTAAAATGATATTCTTTTAAAGGAAAAAGGAAAGGACTTAACATGACCACTTAGATGCAGAAAATTGATTGACAGCTGCAGGGGCTTAGCATTTTACATGCTTCTTCACTACCTTTGACTGACCAAGACATTAAATGTCTTCTTTCATAATGGTAAATATTAATTTTTTTCTAAACTACGGCTACATCATACTAGATGAGCCAGAATAAGTGACTTTGGGTTCGCTATACACCTTCCTCAAATTAAGAAAAATAAGAAATGGTCACTGCACCAGTTATAGCTTGTACTGAGGGCTACTTTCCTCCAGAACTAACTACTGGCAAGTTCTGACACATGAGCGTTTACAGTTAAGGAGATGTAAGATTATAAATTACTTTATTTTATGATATTGCATGACTATAGGTAACATTAGAAAATTAACTGGTCTCCAAGCCTATGTAGATGGATGATGTGACTCAAAACTGGTATGATAAATTGATTTTATCAGCTATCTATTGTAATTCATTAAAACAAGCTTTTAGACTAAATTGACTGAGGATGATAGAAAGACAGTTGAAGTGTTCTCAAATATATGTGATAGCAAAGTGCCAGAGCCAGATCATTCCTTAATTTCTAAAGTGAATGAAGTAGTGACAAAATGCCTTAAGCGTCCCAGTAAAAGATACAATTTAGCTAAAGTAATTATTGATTAGTTATTATGACACCAAATTTTTAATTTTTAAAAGTATTACAAATTTGGCAGATTCAAGATTAAGTTACTGTAGGTACTGTTTTCAACTTCTATCTCAGGAACATTTCTTCATTTGGTTATTAATCACCTTATTAAACAATATATTTACAAGTTCAGTTATTCCTTAAAATTTTGTAATTAATATTATATATACTTGTTCACTGATATCAGCAGTGATATATTCCTACTGGATACCCAAACCATCTCACAAGTTTTCATTTACATTTCTCAAAATTTCACTAGTGTAAAACTGAGGTACAGCTGATGTTTCTTCAGTCACTTCACATACCTAGACATTGGTATCAAATGACTGCAAGTAATCATGAACTCATAAATAACATGATTTAGATTTATTATTTCAAGACAAAATTAAAAAGCTTGCCATAGTGATTAGGAATGTCATAAAGGAGATTTGGGATTGCTGAATGTCAACCAATGATGCTTATTATGACATGAGAATTCCAATGATGAACAAAATTTTGCAGTTCATTATCTAATTGCTTCCAAATAACAGGTCAGAGATAACCTATGATGCATTATGAACTAATGAAATTAAGGCTACAATAAAATTCACCTATGAAGGTGACAATCATCACAGGTACCTTTCTTAACCAGTTTCTAACAAATTTTGTAATTATTGATACATAATTCAAATACATGTATACACCTTACAGAAGTTAATCCACCAAGATATTTTGAATCTTCTCAGTGTGACCACCAAAACTCAATTCTGCAAATGTAACAAGCAAAAACATTATTTATTACAAGTAACAAAGTTATAGGGTTATGCTTTGATGGACTATATATATATATATATCTATATATATATATATATCACCTCCGTCCAAGACCCTCTTGATAAAAAGCCATATTCAAAGCTGCTGTCATGTTATTTGCTGTACCAAAATCGATTCTTAACCTTTTTTTGAAAAATTAAAAAATTCAGAAGATTAGCTACTATATCTGACAGTTGTTCCAATAACTCTAAATAAAATGGAGAAATTATTTTAGGATCATGATAGGAGGTACTCAGTTTTAGCCAAAATATATTGTAGTATCATCAGTTCTTATTATAATAAATGATACCATGGTGAACAACTCAATAAGAAAGGAGAAAGAGAGCAGGAGAATAGTACAATAAGCAATAACCAAAAAAAGTAATCAAAACCGAAAGAGCTTATATACATGGAGCTTAATTACATTCTAGTTACTATGGTGATTATAAAACACTAATAATGTCAACACACATCATGAATAAGATTAACATGGTCTAATAATAATATTACATGTACTAACACATACATTCCATAATAATTATAACGACATATTATGTTACATCTCCCCTTTTAAATTCAGTCATGTTGGTAATACGTGACTCTGTTGGGAGGGTATATACTTGCACCTGAGCGAGATCGGGTCATGATGATCCTTGTGTTCTGAGATTCATTCTCGACAGCTTGCTGACGAGGTCTAAGATCTCTTCTAGTGCGACATACTGGACATGGCATTATTTGTTGGTAGGGATATCATGGCTTGAACAAATGATTCCATTTCTACCTCTTCTGTTTCCTTCTAAACTTGATTGACTGGGGCTCGTGATAGTGTATCAGCTGGGTAGAGTAGTTTACCAGGG